GCTGGGCTTCACAGCATATGAATTCCCTAACTGGGGCAGTCAATCTGGCTATCGTCAGAGAGCTATTGCTTAGGAATGGACACCTCCACTATTGCAGGTTTGAGGGGCCGGTGGAGGGAAGGGCCTTAGCCACAGAGGTGACTGGAGTTGGGGATGTACTGGGTGGCAGGGGCCTGGCTGGATGTTGCCGCAGGAATTGGCAAGCAGGGCGGCGGTAGTCATCTGGCTCACAACCATTGCAATCCAATGCTTAAAAACAGTGGTGCTTGGACATGATGTCATGCAGTAGTTCGGGGAAACACAGGTGTGCGGCACCTCATCAACACTTACCCCTGTCTGAATGAAATTTCACATTGACCCAAGAATCTCATACTTCTTGCAGGTGCCTGTGCCCCACAACCTGAGCTGCCTTCAGAATATGCGTTCTATGTCTTCCAGGGAGGCAAAATGGCGGCTTTATGGAGAATGCTGCTGCACACCATCCACCCCTACTCCTTCATCTGCCACCTGCACATACCTTGGCATATTTACGTGCCATCAAGTGGTGGGGATCCCCAGTGGAGGGCTCTCTACATGCGAGTACTCCCTCAAGGACCTGCGGGGAGGGTGCTGCATGCAGATTGCAGTGGTTCACGGACTCCCAGCCAAACCACTTATTTTGCAGTGCTCTGGAGTCTGTGAACCATGTGTACTTTGGTTGTGGGCATTTGAACTCCTTTTTGGTTATTGGAAAACGATCTATTATGTTTTTGGTTGCACCTCAGCCCCACACTCCTGACCATTGGGCATCCAGTGCAGAGCAGTGTGAGCAGATCAGAGGACCTCCTCGTGTGTCTGCTTCTGGGCTAGCTATTAAACAGTCCAGGCAGTGGGCCATGGAGTGGGTAGTCTCTGCCGACTGCTTGCCCCTCTTCTGAGGTTACAAGCAGGCCCGGGAGTCATTGGAGATGTAGCACACAGTTTCCACAAATGCTCTCGATGCCTTTAGGGAGTGGTGGGCACCGCGCAGGTCGGAGTACTTTATTTTCTCTTCCAGCTCTATTTTAATTTAGTTCCCACCTTCTCTCCCTATCACTCTTCACTTTTTAATGTAAGCATTGCCCATATCAGGCTTTGTTTGTTAGGGTTTTACGGGCCACATGGTTGTTTCAATGGAGGTGGAAAATATGAGATAAAGACTTTGCATAATGGTGCCTGTTTTTCTGTGTCACTGTACATACACACACAGTAATTTGGGGAGAATATAAGCACTACTGCTAGGGGCCCTGTGGGGGCAGTGGTATTGTGGGGGAATAACTAAAAAAAAAGAATATCAGGGGTTCTGCTCACTCTAGGAGCCATCTCTGATCTAGCTGGGTCAATGTTATGTGCTATGCGCATGTAAATAAAGAGAACAAAGAACAAAGAACAAAGAAAATTACAGCACAAGAACAGGCCCTTTGGCCCTCCAAGCATGCGCCGATCCAGATCCTCTATCTAAACCTGTCGCCTATTTTCCAAAGATCTGTATCCCTCTGCTCCCTGCCCATTCATGTATCTGTTTAGATACATCTTAAATGACGCTATCGTGCCCGCCTCTACCACCTCCGCTGGCAACGCGTTCCAGGCACCCACCACCCTCTGCGTAAAGAACATTTTTTAGCATATCTCCCTTAAACTTTTCCCCTCTCACCTTGACATCATGACCCCTAGTAATTGAGTTCCCCACTCTGGGAAAAAGCTTCTTGCTATCCACACTGTCTATACCTCTCATGATTTTGTAGACCTCAATCAGGTCCCCCCTCAACCTCCGTCTTTCTTATGTAAATAATCCTAATCTACTCAATCTCTCTTCATAGCTAGAGCCCTCCATACCAGGCAACATCCTGGCGAACCTCCTCTGCACCCTCTCCAAAGCATCCACATCCTTTTGTAATGTGGCGACCAGAACTGTATGCAGTATTGCAAATGTGGTCGAACCAAAGTCCTATACAACTGCAACACAATTCTTGTACTCAATACCCTGTCCGATGAATGAAAGCATGCTGTATGCCTTCTGACCACTCTATCGACCTGCGTTGCCACCTTCAGGGTACAATGGACCTGAACACCCAGATCTCTCTGTGCGTCAATTTTCCCCAGGGCTTTTCCATTTACTTGGTGATGGGATACCGGTCTTCATGGAGTTATGTCAACCAGTTCCTTCATTTTCAAACAAGAACTGGGACAGTTTGGTATCGAGTTAAACTGTAGGCTGTTTCTTTAAGCCTGCCTTCAAAGTTTGGTCTGCTCGTTCTGCCAGACCATTGGACGATGGATGGTATGTCCTTATATGCCGACTGCCATTCAACTAAAGGAAATACTTGAATTCCCTGCTGATAAATGATGACCCATTGCCTGTGAGCAACACTTTTGGGAGCCCATGTAGTGTAAAAGATGCGCACAGCTTTTCCATTGCCATTGCCAAGTTTGACAAATGAACTCTATGCACATCTAGCCACAAATGTGGGGGAGCTGCTGGCAGTAATTTGTCCTTGTTGGCACTCTGGGCATTGCCACACAAAGTCAGCAATGTCAGCATCCAATCCTGGTCTCCAGACATAACTTCTCACCAAGATCTTCATTTTGGATGACCCTGGTGGAGTTTAGCCAGTATCCAGCAGTGATGTTTGCTCAGACAATCACTCTTGCTCCACACAATAAATGCCATCCTCCATGGTGATGTGGTCTCGCCAAGTCCAGAATGGTTTCAATTCTGGTTGTGATAGCCCTTTTGACTCCCCCATTACCATCAGCTTACTACGATCTGAAGTCCTCAGCTGCTTCAAAAAGACCACCATCATTCCGGTGCCAAAGAAAAATCATGCAGCGTGCTTCAATGACTTCTGCCTGGTAGCTTCGACCTCCAGTAATACAAAGAGAGGAAAGAGAGAGGAAAGATTGGATATTGGACCTCTGGAAAATGAGGCTGCAGAACTACTAATGGGGAATAAAGAATTGGTGGATGACTGAATTGGTACTTTGCATCAGTTTTCACAGTGGAAAACACCAGCAGCATAACAGAACTTCAAGATAGTCAGGGGACAAAGGTGAGTGCAATGACCATCACTGAGGAGAAGGTGCTGGGGAAGTTGAAAGGTCTGAAGGTGGATAAATCACCCAGACCGGAGGGACTATGTCACAGAGTTCTGAAGGAGATAGCTGGGGAGATTGTAGAGGCATTGGTGGTGATCTTTCAGGAATCACTGGAGTCATGGAGAGTCCCAGAGGACTAGAAAATGGTTAATCGAAGACAGCAAGGCAGAGAACAGGAAACTATAGGCCAGTTAGCCTGACAATAGTTATTGGTAAGATTTTAGGATCCATTATTAAGGATGACATTATGCAGTATTCGAAGTGCATGG